TATAGATCCTCCTCCTCCTCAATAAGGGTGGCCGATATCCCCCAAATATATGGGAGGGGGCATTCTGTTCCCTTTTGCCTTTCAGCTTCAATCCAGGAGCCCTCAAGCAGTCGCATTCATGACAAACCATTTTATACCAAATTTATATTTTGCTGATAAAGAAATAAAGGGAGACCAGTATAGATCTATTTCAAGCTTTTTAGCTTTCATCAGCTAGCCATACCCTTACTCGGATTCCAACTTGGGCTTCCTGCATGTTAGGCAGTTGAATTAACCTTCTGATTGGAGCTGAAAGGTGAAAGGGAGCAGAATACCCCCTCCCACATGTTGGGGTAGATCAGGTGTCTCGATAGAAAAACACTTAATCTTTGCCCTGGGTCAAGCTGATGAAGGGAGGAAAACTTGTGGCTCAGAAGGTTAATTCAACTGCCTAACATGCAGGAAGCCCAAATTCGAATCCAAGTAAGGGTATGGCTAGCTGATGAAAGCTAAAAAGCTTGAAATAGATCTATACTGGTCTCCCTTTATTTCTTTATCAGCAAAATATAAATTTGGTGTGTATATATGTGTGTGTGTGTATATGTACCATATATATATATATATATATATATATATATATATATATATATATATATATATATATATATATATATATATATATATATATATATATATATATATATATGTGTGTGTGTGTGTGTGTGTGTGTGTGTGTGTGTGTGTGTGTGTGTGTGTGTATGTGTATATGTGTATGTATATATATATATATATATATATATATAAAGTTAAAATCTCGGGTGTTTTCCTGCATCATTAAAAGTCTGTTAATTGAAGTACTTAAAATCCTGGCTAAAATCCCAGCTTAAAATCCTCCAAAATCCCAACAAAACACTTTGTAAGGTCTTTTGAGACTCTGGCTAAAATCCTAACCAACACTTTAAAAGTTTTCTTTTTGGCAACGTTTTGACAAGCTCTCTAACTTGTCATCATCGGGCCCCTACTTTCAGTTTAGAAACTGTGGGTGTGTTGCGAGATCGGAGTTGTCCTTTTTCTATGTTCGCTGCTGCTGACGTATGCTGGTTAGCCTGCAACTCTGTGTCCAGATTGGAGGGCAGCAGTTTTTTCTCCTGCTTCATTATCCTAGCTGCAGCCTGACTGCGTGTTAAAGGCCCAGCTTTCTCTGGTTCCCTATTACTGACTGTCAATTGCAAAGACGGAAGGATTCTGGTAGGCATCACAACACCGCTGATTGCCTGTTGAGATCTCAGCCTATCTTCTGGCTCGGTTCTCTCTCTCCCTATTGCTAGCTATCATCTGCAAAGAGGGAAGAACTCTGGCAGGCATTACAACAACACTGGTTGCCTGTTGAAATCTCTGCCTATCCTCTGATGTTAAAACTCGAGTTTCCCTCAGTGCAGGTCTCCAAATACTTGATAACCTAGAAGCATCATCATGTCTATTCATATTCTGCGGCCTCTTTTCAATTTTGATAGCCTCCCTAATTATTCTCTTAGTAAGATGTTCCTCTTTCACCACTGTTCTAGTATTGTTGAAGTCGATCTTATGTCCCGTGGCCTTCATGTGTTGTACCAAGGAAGAAGTTCACTCTTCTTTTTTCACTGCGTTTTTGTGTTCTTCTAAATGCACACCTATTTGTCTATTTGTCTGTCCAATGTAAGATGACTGACAGGAGGCACATGGCACTTCGTATACCCCTTGATTTTCCAACTCAATTTTATCCTTGGGGTTTCTTAACATGATTGATATTTTTCTATCTGTGCGGAACATCGTTTTTATTTTGTGTTTCTGTAATATTTTACTAATTTTATCGGTGGTCCCTTTTATATAGGGCAGGATGGCTTTTCCCATATTCTGTTCTTCTTCTTGGGTTGCGCTCTGTCCTGATGTCCCTTGCTGGATTATACTTCTAATTTTATTTTCGTGGAACCCATTTGCCATTAATACCTCTTTGAGAATATGAAGCTCTGTTTGTACATGTGCCTCATCTGCTAGACGTTTAGTTCTAGTAATTAAAGTTTTTGCCACTGAATTTATTTGCGAAGGATGATGGTGTGAGTATGCATTTAGGTATCTATTTGTGTGTGTCTTCTTTTGGTAGACACTATGTCCTAGGGTGCCATCAGTTTTCTTGTATATTAATACATCTAAGAATGGGAGTTGATTTCCAATCTCCATTTCCATAGTGAACCGTATCTTTGGGTGCATGTTATTCAAGTGTACTAGAAAATTGTCTAGCTTGTCTTTTCCATGGGGCCAGATGACAGATGTATACACACATACATACATATACATACATATATATATACCTGCATATCTTCTTATATATATAATGTTATTGCTTTTCCTACTCCTCCTCTAGGATTTAAAGGGGACTTTCCCTATTTGAAGGATTCCTTTATTTTATATTACTCATCATTTTATATTCCTACCAATTTAAATTTTTATTAGTTTATCCAAATATAAAATATAAAGAAAAAAAAAGACGTGAAAAACTAAGAAAAGGGGAAGGGAAAAAAGAGATATAGTGTAAAGGGGGAAAAGAAAAGAAAAGAAAAGAAAAGAAAAGAAAAGAAAAGAAAAGAAAAGAAAAGAAAAAGGCAGCCATTTCTAATTATCTTTAGCACAGTAGAAGATAACAAGATTACAGGTAATCTCTGAGTTCCCTCACCAAACGTTCAAAGTCCCGAATGTATGAATCTTGCAGCACCACAGCAGTTGTTTGCCCATACGGACAACCGCAGAGACTCTGCAACATTTGTCTTGCCTGGTACTTTGCTGGCCACAATGGAACTCGGTTTAGGCCCACGCAAGCCTAAATGGCGCATCAGAGGGCTTCTGCGTAACATCTTTCAGTTTTTTGAAGAGTGCTAATATATGTCTTTCCCTTCTCCAATTGCAACACTGTGTTACAAAAGGTGTGTCATGATCCTGTCAGAGTCTGAATCCGAAGGGGAAGATGAACAGCTGACAGAGAGTGAGAGAGTGGATCCGTTGGCTGTGGAGGAAACTGAGGAAGTGCAGAGGAAACTGGGCAGAGCAGGGGAGAGGTAGAACAAGGGAGAAGGGGGTTCAGATGAGGATCAAGGCTCACCCCCTCCTCATCCTAGGCAGCGCAGGGAGGAATGGAGAAGAGAGTAACGTGGGTTGTGTGGCTTACGAGAGAGGACCCGATCCTCTTTACAAGGCACAGCTGTTGGGAACAAATGCTGAGTTCATCTGGTGTTTATCTGAGCTCCCAGCATCCCTGCAACTGGTTTGATTTACTGCCGTGCTACTTCACTTCTGGAATTCCCTAGTTTGCTTGCCCTGCCAGATTAATTACTTTGTCTTGCCTTGTTGGATTTTTAGTTGAAAGTTTTCTGTTTACAATGTTTGGGACTGAAGTATTGTCAGCCAAAGACTATTACAAGTTGGTGGAAGAGCTCTCTCCAGGCCGGAGAGTTGAAAGGGACACTGGGGGAACAGTTGGTGATAATAAAGGGACTCATATTGGTTCTCTGACTGTGTTGCTTTTGTGTCACATCCCGAGTCATCACAAGGTGCTTCCAGATTCCTGATTTTCAGCTCCTGTAGATCAACATGGCTCTTCTTAAAGATGAGTAGTCCTTAATGGTACTACATCCACATGGAGAGAAGTAAGCAGTGGGGTACCACAAGGCTCAGTCTTAGGCCTAGTACTCTTCGATATCTTTATAATTGACTGAGATGAGGGAATAGAAGGGGAACTCATCAAATTTGCAGATGATACTAAGCTGGCAGGAATAGCCAACACCCCAGAAGGCAAGCTCAAGATCCAAAAAGATCTTGACAAACTTGAACAATGGGCCCCATCCAACAAAATGAATTTCAATGTGGAGAAAAGCAAAACTTTACATTTAGGCAGGAAAAATCAAAGGTATAAGTATAGAATAGGTAAGACCTGGCTCAAAAACAGTAACTGTAAGAGGGACCTTGGAGTCCTAGTGGACAATCACTTAAACATGATCCAGCAATGTGCAACAGCAGCCAAAAAAGCTAATACAATCCTAGGTTGAATAACCAGAGGCATAGAATCAAGATCACGTGAAGTATTAGTGCCACTTTACAAAACCCTAGTAATACCACACCTGGAATACTGCAACCAATTTAGGTCACCCTACTACTTAAAAGATGTTGAGACTTTGGAAAAAGTTCAGAGAAGAGGAACTAAGATAATCAAAGGCCTGGAGACTAAACCATATGAAGAACAGCTGCAGGTTTTGGATCTGGCTAGTCTAAAGAAAAGAAGGGGTGACATGATAGCACTATTTATTCTCCAAAGCACCAGAGGGCAGGAAAAAGAAATAATGGTTGGGAACTAAACAAAGAGAGAAGCAACCTGGAATTAAAGAGAAACTTCCTAACAGTGAGGACAATTAACCAGTGGAACAGGTTGCCTTCAGAAATCATGGCCATTCCATTACTGCAGGTTTTTAAGAGAGACTGGACAGTCACTTGTCTGATATGGTATAGGTCCTCCTGCTTGAGCAGGGGACTGGACTAGAAGGTCTCCAAGATCCCTTCTATTCTATTCTATTCTATTCTATTCTATTCTATTCTATTCTATTCTATTCTATTCTATTCTATTCTATTCTATTCCATTCCATTCCATTCCATTCCATTCCATTCCATTCCATTCCATTCTCTTTCTGGTCTGCCCTCAAGACTAAAATCAGCTCCTTTGACCTCTTCCTTGACTTCATTATCCTTCTCTAAAGCTGATCCAGGTTTTCTGAAATCTTCTCCAAGCATGGTGCCTGCAAGGAGAGCTGATGCTTGAGTGGAGTTCATATATAACTTCATACATTAAAATACCAGGTTCAATAACAAACCTAGGTTTCTGTTTTAAAAATTCCTGGATGTTTCTATTCTAGTTCCATCCCTTTCTGGAGAAGAATGAGTTCTACAATCTTTCCCACTGGAAACTTTACCTGGACCATAATGGAGAAATAGCTGCAGATATGGACATTGAGTTCATGATGATTTCTCCTGAAGGGGATATGATGAAATGGAAACTGGGGAGTATTGAAAGACAGAGACTTATTATTAATGAAATTGCTCTTTCATGGTTGAATCTGCTCAACAAGGTGGGTCAAATATTGCTATGTTTTCTCTTTTTTCTAAAGATTATGACCCATTTCAAGTGGGTTAATTCTAGTCACCATGGGGGATGAACCTTACTGGGTGTTCTGTCCTCACTACACGTCAGTCTGTGTGCAGCTTGAAATGCAGCTAAATCCACCTATCCTCCAAAAAACCAGACCGTATGCATAGATCTGAATGCTTTATTGAAAAAACAGGATATGGTGAAACTGGAGAAAATAGGGATACATACAATGAGAACCAAATACAAGACAGACAGTATTGAGTTACTGCTGAACATAACAATTAATAAATACAAGCAATTCAAATCTCATCAGCAATGCTCTGTGTGTGGGATGTTGGTTTGTCCTTGGATGACCATGTGCCACAGATTAAGATGGATTCTTCTTTGTGATTCTGCCTTCTCCAAATGCTAAAGAAAATGGAATCTGGCTTCCCAGCATGCACTTGTTTTGAGAGTGCGGGCTGATGGGTAATGGGGCAGGGTCAGCTTCAAGCCATATACTTTGTGTTTGTCTCTCCGGCCACTAGATGGGGCTAGAGAGCAACAAAAGTATATAAAGGTTATATGCTGCGGCATGATACTGGGAGTTGAATGTACAGAAGAGAAAACTGAACATTTTGTTAGATGGATTGTGGGGACTTTACTACTATTCACAAAGGTGTCCTTCAGATACCGTGATAAGGAATATTCTTTTGAACTGATTCAGTCATGTCCAATATTGGATGCTGGGTGATTATTTTTCAGGATGGAGACCATGGATCAAGCTGGTGAGAAATAATCAAGTGCTGGCATTTGTGTTGCTAATAGCCTCAGGTTCCTTTAACCAGTGTCTGCATTAAGGTTTGGACTGAATCAGATGAAATATAGTCATGACTGGATAGAGGTCTTGTTGGTCCATGTGAGAAATAAGCCTCACCTTGTCCAGGTGGAGGAATGCCTCTCTTGAAAGATTCTATGTTTTTAAGCAGGCCAAACCTGGCCAGAGTTATCCATATCTCTCTTTCACCCCACTGGGATAAACAATAGGACTTCTGCTCCCCTGAAGAAGCTCCAAAGATGTCCATGTTTCACATGAAATCATAAAGGTTGTTTTGATGTGAGTTAATGCCCGGAACCTGGAAAACTGAAACACCAAAACAAAACTTTATTTTCAAGTTTTTTATTTATTTATTTTATTTTTTTACAAACATATCAATGCACGAACAGTGTGGCACCTGGGTACTATGCATTCTAATACAAATAAAACTAGTAAAATTAATCATAGTTATTACATTCAGTCAACTTATATCTTTCTAATAATAATACACATTTATATTAAGTTGCAGTCTGTCATTATTCCATATTTTCTCTTGCTATTGCATTTATTGTATTATATAAACGTGTATAAACTAATGTTCCCCCTTTCTCTTGTTTATATCTCTTATTCTAATCATGTCACCCTTTATTTAAAAACATTTTCTTTCTATCCTATCTAACTTGGATAATGATGGATAGATGATTTCTCTCTTCTTCTTTTTTGTTGCTGTTCTGATTTGCTTTTCTTTCTCTCTCTCGTTCTTTTCTTCTTCTTTTTTAGGTAGGTGACATGGCTAGAAGTTACATTACTTTGATTGAAAGAGAAGCCCTTCTTCATTTTGGAAATAACGAGAGAATTTGAAAGGAAATGCTACTACCGTGTTTCCCCGAAAACAAGACCCTGTCTTATATTTTTTTGAACCCTGAAATAAGCGCTTGGCCTTATTGCTATGCGCTCAAAAGCCCGATTGGGCTTATTATCAGGGGATGTCTTATTTTGGGGGGGGAAAGGGTAGATGAAGAGGGTACTTCATCTGAAAAACTCAGAATGCAATTTTTTAATTCTTTATTGTTAGCTACGTTAAGTCCCTCTAAGCAAAAAGGAGGACCCAAATTTAACTAATAAGAAACAAACCAAATTCAAGGGGATACACAAATCAAAGATGCCAGAATTGGAGGTTTATGACTTTCCTAAACAATATAAAAGGGATTCACATTCCATCTCTTGTTCGTAGTTGTTACCTGCATGTATTTTGTATATGTTTGGAACAGCTAACCATTTAAGCTTGATCAAGATTAAATGCTATGTTACTCAAAAAAAAGAAAGAGAGAAGAGAGAGAGAGAGGGAGGGAGGGAGGGAGAGAGAGGGGGGAGAGAGGGAGGGAGGGAGAGAGAGAGAGGGAGGGAGAGAGAGAGAGAGAGAGAGAGAAAGAAAGAAAGAAAGAAAGAAAGAAAGAAAGAAAGAAAGAAAGAAAGAAAGGTAGATTTGTCTTCCCATGCAAGTTGGTATCCCTCTAACTGTAGTTCTTCAGTAGAAAAAGACCCAGATACAGAGCTGGACACAAGTCTCCTACTTTTGTCCCACTTGCTGAAGATGAAAAGATCCCTTTTTGAGGGACAGGTTCTCATGACCTCTCCTGTATCTCATCTCACCCCAGTTCTAAAAACTAGGCAGTCAGTTTTAGTCTTAGTTGAGAGCAGGGATGAAATCCAGCAGGTTCTGACAGGTTCTGGAGAACCGGTAGCGAAAATTTTGAGTAGTTCAGAGAACCAGCAATGCCACCACTGACTGGCCCCAGAGTGGGGTGGAAATGGGGATTTTGCAATATCTTTCCCCCAGGAGTGGGGTGGGAATGGAGATTTTGCAGTATCTTTCCCCTGCCATGCCACCAAGCCACGCCCACTAAGCCAAGCCATGCCCACAGAACCGGTAGTAAAAAAAAATTGGATTTCACCAAATTTGGTTGAGAGCCATATGAATTGAAGAAAGAAACACATAAATAAAGAAAGCCCTAATTTTTAAGGACTCTCTCCCCTTTAATATCATAATTGGGTGGTGGTTTGGGTTTAGTTTCAAAGGGAAGCAGTTTTGCAATGTTTTATATACTCCAGAAGAAGCCTACCCAGATCCTACTCAGGGGTGCTATTCAGCAGGTTCTGACAGGTTCTGGAGAATCAGTAGCGGAATTTTTGAGTAGTTCGGAAAACCAGTAAATACCACCTCTGGCTGGCCCAGGAGTGCAGTGGGAATGGAGATATTGCAATATCCTTCCTCCAGGAGTGGGGAGGGAATGGGGATTTTGTAGTATCCTTCCTCTGGAGTGGGGTGGGAATGGAGATTTTGCAGTATCCTTCCCCTGCCACGCCCACCAAGCCACTCCCACAGAACAGGTAGTAAAAAATTTTGAATTCCACCACTGATCCTACTGCTCCAAAGTTTCTTTCTTTACTCCAGCTTTATTTTATTTAATAAATCTAATATAATAAAATTTTAATAAATCTTTTACAATAATGTCTTTTCCAAAATTTCATGCAAAATCATCGTACTGTACTTTAAAATCATAGTTATGTCAAGAATGGAGAGGCTAGGGGGGAAAAACTAAACTGTTGTCTCTTAAGGCTTAAATCTTTTCAATTTCATCACTGCAGACTTTCTTAAGTAGAAAAATCCTTTATTTCAATGTTAGATGCCAAGAGCAAAGGGGAGTGAGTAAACAAATAATCGGCCAGTATTTATCTCTCCAAAATCTGTTTGGTGAACTATAGTCCTGGAGAAGACTCCTGTGAGTTTCTTGGACTGCAAGGTGATCAAACTGGTCAATCCTAGAGGAGATCAACCCTGACTGCTCTTTAGAAGGCCAGATCCTGAAGATGAAACTCAAATACTTTCTCCATCTAATGAGAAGGAAGGACTCACTGGAGAAGAGCCTAACGCTGGGAAAGATTGAGGGCAAAAGAAGAAGGGGACGACAGAGAACGAGGTGGCTGGATGGAGTCACTGAAGCAGTAGGTGTGAGTTTAAATGGACTCCAGAGGATGGTAGAGGACAGGAAAGCCTGGAGGAATGTTGTCCATGGGGTCACAATGGCTCTGACATGACTTCGCAACTAACAACAACAACAACAACAAATCTGTTTGGAATGAGTCAATGATTTCATATTTACTTCATAGAGCCGAGCTGGTGCAGTGGTTAGTGTGCAGTACTAGCTGCAGTTCAGTAGTTCAAATCTCACCAGTGACTCAAGGTTGATTCAGCCTTCCATCCTTCTGGGGTCAGTAAAATGAGGACCCAGATTGTTGGGGGCAATAGGCTGACTCTGTAAACCACTTAGAGAGGGCTGTAAAAGCACTATGAAGCAGTATATATGTCTAAGAGCTATTGCTATATTTATCTAAGTGAAGTCCAGGAACTATATGGCTAATGTTAATGTCTACATCCATTTTCATGCATGCTTCGTCCCAAATTATTTTCTTTCAAATTCCTTATTTTTCTGCTTAGTCTCTCCCTCAATCCCAATGTGTGAAAAATTGTCATCCTGGGTTTGTCAAGCAGAAGCGAGAAGGAGAACCTATTTGCTGCTACGACTGTATTCCTTGTCCTGAGGGGACCATCTCCATTCATGAAGGTGGGGGACACCAAAGAAAAGGGCAGGTCTTGTGGAAGTGGATTCATCTGAAACACTGTCATGAAAGTGCAAGTTAATAGACAGATTGAAGCTCAATTTTGTTGTTGTTGTTTTTTGTTCTTGCCAGCAGTGCAGCAATTCGATTCTCATCAGCTCAAGGTTGACTCAGCCTCCCATCCTTCTAAGGTCGGCAAAATGAGGACCCAGATTGTTGGGGGCAATAGGCTGACTCTGTAAACCTCTTAGAGAGAGCTGTAAAAGCACTATGAAGCAGTATATAAGTCTAAGCGCTATTGCTATTATCTTCAAATTGCACTATTTCTTATATAGAGGGAGGAATAGCAGAAAAAACTTGACGGAGGACCTAGGAAAAGATAGGAGGGTGTAGCAGATTGGACAAGCTTCTCTACTGCCAGAAGAAAAATCTCTTCTGCTTTTTAGTTTGGATTCCAGATTATTTGCAGAACTAACATTTTTTCCCCCTAGCTAATTAGATTTCTTATGACTATACCATGTTGCTTGTATCTTTACAATTTATATTGTTTTATTTGTTTCCTAGTACGATTTGATTGCTTATTAGTAACCTATGAATATCACTAAGTGTTGTACCTTATGATTCTTGATGAATGCATCTTGTCTTTTTATGTACACTGAGAGCATATGCACCAAAGACAAATTCCTTCTGTGTCCGATCACACTTGGCCAAAAAAGAATTCTATTCTATTCTATTCTATTCTATTCTATTCTATTCTATTCTATTCTATTCTATTCTATTCTACTCTACTCTACTCTACTCTACTCTACTCTACTCTACTCTACTCTACTCTATTCTTAGATTTCAAAAAATAGGCATCCAGAGTCAAGTATATTAAGAAGTGCCATCTGGCAGGATCCAGGAAATGCACCTAGAAAGATTAATTGATTCATTATATACCTCTAATCATGTAGGTTCTGCAAATTACATTAGAAATAATTCAGGTTCCAGGACTTCTTCCAATTTCATAAACTATAAAGATATAGCTGTTTTTTTAGAAAATGATATTCTTCTTATCTTCTCTCTGTAGAGATTTTAAGCAATGTTTTTTCGAAAATGCTGCTGGTAACAATTGTGGTCACAAGAAGGTAGTTTGTGAAAGTACAGAATATTTTTTTTTTAAAAAAAAATTTTGTTTGTTTGTTTACTCAGATACAGAAAAATGCAGCCAGTGTCCAGATGAAAAATATCCAAATGAGGACAGAATCCAATGTATCCCCAAAGTTATATCCTTCCTTTCTTATGAAGAATATCTGGGAGTCATTCTGGTCTCTTTTGCTCTGTCCTTGTTCTTAGCCACAGGCCTTGTTCTAATTATATTCATTAGACATCAGGAAACTCCCATTGTGAAAGCCAACAACCGAGACCTCTCTTACATCCTCCTGGTCTCCCTCCTGCTTTGCTTCTTGTCTCCTCTGATCTTCATTGGTCAACCAAGGAAAGCCACTTGTCTTCTCCGACAAACAGTTTTCAGCATCATCTTCTCAGTTGCCATTTCTTCTCTCTTGGCCAAAACAATCACAGTGGTGCTGGCTTTCCTGGCCACAAAACCAGGAAACCGAATGAAGAGATGGTTGGGGAAGATCTTGGCTAACTCCATTATCCTTTCTTGTTCTAGTGTCCAAATTATGATCTGTTCCGTCTGGTTGGGAATTTCTCCCCCATTCTGTGAGTTGGACTTTCACTCCCAGCCTGGAGAGATCATCCTGCAATGCAATGAAGGCTCTGTTTTCATGTTCTACATCACCCTCAGCTACATGGGCTTCCTGGCTGCCATCTGCTTCACAGTGGCTTTCCTGGCCAGGAATCTCCCTGGAGCCTTCAATGAAGCCAAGCTGATCACCTTCAGCATGCTGGTCTTCTGCAATGTTTGGGTCTCCTTCCTGCCGACCTACCTGAGTACCAAGGGGAAATACATGGTGGCTGTGCAGGTCTTCTCCATTTTGGCCTCCAGTGCCGGTCTGCTGGTCTGTGTCTTCAGCCCCAAATGCTATGTTATTATTCTGAGGCCAGACTTGAATACAAAGGAGCATCTTACAACCAGAAGAAATGTACAAATGTGAGTTAGGTAATTTCCACTCTCAACACATGGCCAACCGGCCATTCCTAGAAATCATTCCAAGCTGTTCCCCTACATGAGCTGGGGGAACAATTTTGGTTGAAATAATTAACTGGATTATCCAACCGGTCAAATTATGTAGAAATAAAATAAGAGGGGTGCTGAAATACAGCTATATAAGAGTTTTACAAAAGAATTCCTAAAGAATTGAGAGTATCCATATTTGAGTGTTCCATAAATGTGGTGTAAGGGATTGGGCATAAATACTCTTTACTAAATTGCAACAGTTCATCCATCTTATTCTTTTGATGTGGACACTCCAGAGTTATTTGGGTCATGAATAACAAAATAACAGAGTTGGAAGGGACCTTGGAGGTCTTCTAGTCCAACCCCCTGCTCATGCAGGAAACCCTATACACAGTGTCCTGTGTATGCACACACAAACTCCCCTCCCTTCCCCACTCCTGGCATGCGATAGCCCAGTAGGCTCATTTTTCTTTCTCACCTGGCTCCAGATCCTCTCTATGCATCTGGGGAGGGTGAAAACAGCCTTCCCCACTCCCTCAAAGGCCCCCCAGAGGCCTGAAATGGCCCATTTCCCAACTTCCGGTGGGATAGGAAATGACTTTTTTGCTGTACTCAGCCTCCAGAGACTCCTAGAGCTTAGACTCCCTTTAATTTTAGTAAGATATGGCAGCTAACATCAGGGATGAGACCCATTATACATCAACCTGGCATTCAAAAGCAACAGTCAAAACCTAGAGCCACCAAGGATCTGGTAGCCAGGCACTGAGACTAGAAGCCTAGGGCCATACAATGGGACAACCTTTGAGTAGCAGATCAGTTGTCACAAATTATGGCCAACTTCTATGTGTCTCTATCAGGATAGCCCTACCTATTCCTTCAGCTCCTGCCTTTCACTCAAACCTCGAGTTAACATTTACTGGCCAAGATGTACATATCAATATTCCCCCTCTGGATAAGAAACATTATCCAATTAGATACACTCAGGAATATAGGGACTCCCAACAACATCTACCAACCATTTGGCAATATTTGGGCAGGGTTTAACAGACAACCTCAGAGATGGGAAGGCCAAAGGTGCCCCACTCCACCAACTGTGTCCACAGAAAATGAAGGGGGACCACTAGGTTTCCCCCAAATCAGTTTCTGGTTGGGTGCAGCAAGAAATCAGGTTACATCACCCACCATGCTATGGGCACTGCCACCATCTCATCTGCCAACCTCACAAACCCAGTCTTTATTTGATCAATAAGAAACTTCAAAATATAAAGATACTTAGTGGCTTACGTCAGTGGTGAAATTCATTTTTTTTTTTACTACCGGTTCTGTGGGTGTGGCTTGGTGGGCATGGCAGGGGAAGGATACTGTAAATTCTCCATTCCCACCCCACTCCAGGGGGAAGGATACTGCAAAATCCCCATTCCCTCCCCACTCCTGGGGGAAGCATATTGCAAATTCTCCATTCCCACTCCACTCTGAGGCTAGCCAGAGGTGGTGTTTGCCAGTTCTCTGGACTACTCAAAATTTCCGCTACTGGTGCTCCAGAACCTGTCAGAACCTGCTGGATTTTACCCCTAGTTTACATCAATGTGATAGGACAACACAGAAAGGGTCAAGATTAAGAAAAATAAAAGCTTCCATCCGCTCTATGACTTTATCCCTAGATACATAGGTTGTCAATGTTCTGCCTGATATTGGCTCTTATCGAACAATTGACATTTCTAGAACTGATGGGAAATGAAATTTCACTTCAGGCAGAAGGAAATTTAAAATCATCTCCAATTTAGGATTGAAAAATGGAGGTCTAATGGAAAATAAAATCACAAAAGGCCCTACTCTTAACGTTTGTTGTTTTTTTTAATTTGATTTATATGCCGCCCTTCTCTGGAGACTCAGGGCGGCTTACAATGCGCTAAGCTAAACAAGGTTAGGGAGGGTTCAAAGATATTTGAATTAGAAGACAGTCAGGAATAGATTTGTGTCATCAACATAGAGTGTAACCAAAATCCACGCTCTGGGTGACCTTTTTCATCAGTCTCTGGAGAAAAGACACCATGATGAAGGACAGCAGAAATGTTGAATGATTTTCCTCCATTTCTGGACATGTATTGACACCACCTTTAAAGCGCTCCATGGCTTAGGACCTGGGTACTTGCGGGACCGTCTACTACCACCAATAGCCTCCCACCGGCCGGTCATAGAGAGGGGCTCCTCCGGGTGCTGTCGGCCAAACAATGTCGACTGGCGGCCCCCAGGGGGAGAGCCTTCTCTGTGTGGGCACCTATTATCTGGAACAGGCTCCCCCTGGAGATACGGAGGATCCCGGATCTGCGCACCTTCCTCCGCGCTCTTAAGACCTTTTTATTCCACCAGGTGGGCCTGGCCTAACTTTCTCCCTCTTTTTAAATTTTTAATATTTTTTAATATTGTTAATATTCAAAGTTTAATTTGTTTTAAATTGATTGGGGTTTTTTAATCTGTCTGGGCCAAACTATTTAATTCGATTTTATTTCTGCTTTTTAAATTTTGTATGTATGTATTTTATTGTTGGCTGTTCACTGCCCTGAGTCCTTCGGGAGTAGGGCAGTATATAAATCAAATAAAAGTAAAGTAAAGTAAAGAAAGGACCAAAATACCCTCAGGGGTGTATTTGTGATTTTTCACTCTCCAGCTGACCCTCTGCACATGGAGTCTTAGAAGAACTTCAGGATCCCCGGAGGAGAAGTTGTTCCTCACTGTAATTATTACCATCCTGACCTTTGAGGCATCTTCTGCTGTAGTGACTACCTTTGATGTTGACATCAGACCAAAGTAACAAGAAAGGAATCTTTTCTCAGAAAAGGATAAATGCCACAGTTCACTCTCTGTACAGCAAAAGTTTTGGGATAGGCAGAGATTGAACACTTGAGTGTACCTTTCTCTCCTTTCCACACGAAGATTGGTTTGTCTCTGCCTGAATCAGGAAAGCCAGTGACATTTCCATTTTACATTCTCCTAATTCTTCTTGTTCTTATTTAGAAACGGGAAAGGGATTGATTCAATCCTATAAATGATGGATCTTCTGCTTCTGATGCTACTGGTGACTCAGGCGGTCTCTGAGAAGCTTAGAATGAAATGCCCATTAAATTTTGAGATCCAAGATGGGGAAAAAACATGGAACTTTTACAGGCCAGGAGATCATCTCATTGCCACGGTCTCCACTGAAACAACGTCCTTACCTCGAAAGTTGCCTTTCAACGTGGCTCCTTCTAGTCAGTCTCGCTCGTAAGTTATTCAGTGTGATGGAGTTGCATGCCCTCCTCCATTTGCAGCTCTAACACTCTTTATTTCACTTACTCTTATATTGCAGGACCTGTCTAATTTCTTGAATCGTTTCGATTTTCATGGCTTTCCTACTTTGTCTTCATTTGTGGAATAGATTCGAAGTCAACACATATGGCAAATAAAACCTGAAACAAGTCCAGATTAGTTATGCTTTCCCTTCAAATACTGTATTCATCACTGGGATACTGAGTTCGGTTGAAAATAGTGATTGAGAGGGCTGTGAGATGCCTCTGTCCAGCCTATTTCCATATTTAAATAACTACTCCTTGGTATTCAGTACCTGATTCTTAGAGGAATAAAGGATGATTTCTTTTTACAGTGGCTTTTCTGGTTCACTTACGAAACATCCTCTTCATTTCACGGTGGTTCTACTTTAATAATTGAATATTTCTGAATACAGGTTTCTGGGGAGATGAAAGTTAGAACTGGTAGAAATAACAGTGTATTTGTGATTCTTAACCATGTTGGAAGACTATCTCCAATGCTCATAAAAATTAGATGCTGATGGGTGGCTATCATTTGTCTTTGGCTTTGGATCTGTGTTGGCTTAAGACACAGTAGATGTATGGAAACAAAAAGGATTACATTGAAAAAATAATATTTTTTGTTGTTTCTGTTGATGATGATGGTAACAACACGAACATTGTTTTGTTTTGTTTTTTTACAGTGCAGGACTTTATTTTAAACTACTAATCCTGGCTTTTGCCATTCAAACAGTAAACATGAATCCCCAGCTCCTGCCCAATCTCACACTTGGCTACAACCTGCATGACAATTATGTCAGCACTCTTGGCACTTCAGAAGCCTTGCTGGACATCCTCTCTACCGGACAAGCCAATGTTCCCAACTACAGCTGTGGAAGGAAGGAAAACCTTTTGGCTGTTGTTGATGCAGCTAAAAGGGAAACCTCCATCCAGATGTCAACATTAGTAGGCCCCTACAAAGTCCCACAGGTTTGTGCTTGTGTTTGTGTTTCTCCAGTTAGTAAAGTGAGTGGGGAGGTTGTGGGTGAGTGATAGATCCAACCATATTTTGCCTACGGAATTCAAAAACTGCTTTTCACAATGGCTTTCTGTCATGACTTTGGATTGGGGTACTCTGTGGGGAAGGGTGGGGAAAAGCAGACATATCCTCTTATGATACAATCCTCATTGTTTTGGGAGCTACTACTGCGTTCTTATGAAGGTGAGGAGAAGTTTTGTGTCCAATCAAAGAGTCTTCTGTAAGAAAAGGAAGGTGCAGTTGTGAGGGAAAATATTTTTCATGGTGAACAAATCCATGATTCATGAAAAGAATCTCAAAGATTAACTTACCTGGACTTGATAAAATATACATCACTTACGGACTTGTTGGGACCAGAGCGTTATCCACCTTTTTTTAAAAAAAAAAATTACAAGCACAATAACCAACAGGTCAACAATTTTTCAATCAACTATGTTCATGGTCAAATTCATCCTAGAAGACCTGTTGATAAATGGAGCTCCAGGAGAGGAATTTTCACTGGCTGAACTATTAAAAAACAAATCCTGTCTGATGAGGCCTTCTATTGGCAGGTTCATTGACAGATATAAGTAATATCTACCTCATTGAGTTGGGTGGAAGATTGCAATACTATTTCCCATTTAAATAAAAGAAATAAAAAAAGAACCTTGGAATTACTGACCCATTATTCTTATAGATGTTGTGACAAAAATTCATGCCAGCTTCCTCGTGAGGAGACTTGAGAGTGGGTAGATGAATAGTGCAGTCCTTGCAGAACAACATTCAGGCTTTAGGTAGAGTTGATTCACTATTGATAAATGTTTTGACTTGAACCATCTAATTACAAAATACATCACTTAGGATGTATTGCTGCTTTGTAGACCTTAGTGAAGCATTTGACACAATAAAGAGAGAAATATTATGGAGGAAATTGATTGGCCTTAAAAAAGAACTCAGACTGTTGGCACTGATCAAAACCCTGACCACAAGCATTTTTTTGAGAGTGCAGTCTGGGCTCAGTGGAGGCATGTGAAGAAGGATTAATATTTACCAAGGGGTAAGAGAAGGATCTATGGGACGTGGTGGGTCAGTGGCTAAGATGCTGAGATTGTCGATCGAAAGGTTGGCAGTTCAGCGGTTCGAATCCCTAGTGCCACGTAATGGGGTGAGCTCCTGTTACTTGTCCCAGCTTCTGCCAACCTAGCAGTTCGAAAGCGTGTAAAAAATGCAAGTAGAAAAACAGGGGCCACCTTTGTTGGGAAGGTAACAGCATTCCCTGCACCTTTGGCATTTAGTCATGCCGGCCACATGACCACGGAGACATCTTCGGACAGCGCTGGCTCTTCTGCTTTGAAACAGAGATGAGCACCGCCCCCTAGAGTCAGGAACGACTAGCACATATGTGCGAGGGGAACCTTTACCTTTTAAGAGAAGGATGCATACTTGTGCCATTTTTATTCAGTCTAGACATTAATCACTTATCAGGACTAATGAAGTACACATGCCTAAGGAGCTAGATTACTTATTGTAACACAATTTTTTATTCTGTGAAAATGGTATTATCATGGACATGGCCTATCCATTTGTTGTGAAATTAAGGAGTTTTTATCATGTCTTCCGACTGCTAGTTGGTATTCATGGATGTGCTCTGCTAGTCTTCTGCCAGTTTGTCCCACCTAGTTGCAATACTAACACTGTATTTGTAGATGACTCCTGTTTTTTTCTTCTGGGGCTGCTGGATCTGCTGGATCGATGCAATGTGATTGAAATACTTTATTGGTGGTTTCTGAGATGCTTTTGATGTATGGCAGTATAACCCTTTTCACAGCTTGTGTTGATTGTGCTATATTAGGTTGGTGGTTCAGAAATTTTTTGATGAAGTTGTCTGGATGTTCATTTTGTTGGAAGATGTTGTACACATGACCTATTTCCTTTTTGTGATCTTCAGGGTTTCTGCAGTGTGTTTGTGCTTGTCTAAGTAATGTCCAATGAAAAAAACATGAAGAGCACTTCCACCCTCCTGACAGGGCAAGCCAGTAGAATATAAAATGAGAGCAAACCCTATTCCCTACTAGCACTGATGAAGTTATCTAGTTTGATAATGAAACATTTTCTCACATGAAAAATGAGACAATCCCAACATTCTGTCTTTTGGAACAAACAAAATTTTAATTAGACACCTCTTGGATTGTACATCTGACAAATTGTGTCAGGACCTTTGGTGTCCCTGTCTTTTGCACAACTGGAGAACAAGCTAAATAAATGCTGCAAAAAGAATCTGGGATATCAAAACAGAGAAAGATATGGCCATCTTCAGTAAGATTAGCACATTAAAATGGATGAAGAGATGCAGATGGACCTTCCAAATTACAAAGAATTTCAATATAGACATGCACATACATGTTAGGGCAATATTTACTTGAGCAAGAATTGATCAGTTGGATACAATGTTTAGTTATGGAAGATACAAGCAAATCCTTTATACTGAACATGCAGAGCTCCAGAGATAGAAGAAATAACATTTCTATTATTCCAATGTCAATTGTATAAGAAAGAGAGAGGTATCTTGAACCTCACAATAGACCAATGGCCTGTTGTGATCCTTGTATTGAAAATATGTTTACTCTGTGGTGAGAATTCAAAAAACAACATATAATAGAAATATTTATTTGAACAAAACAGTTTAGTCGAGATCAGCATATGTGGGTCTGATTGTGGTAAATCAGAGGAGTGATACAGAAATATAATTTGCATTCTTTAAACTTATTCTTTTTAACTTGGTGTTTTTTTACGTACTTGTTAATTTTAATTTGTTAATTAAATTAAGTTAATTAACTTGTTAATGTTCTGTACTTTATATCCTGGTTTTTGATATGGTTTAATGAGTAATTAAGGATAATCTATTATAAAGTATTCTAATATGTTCACGAGTAGCAAGTTGGGTTTATTAAAATCTAGTACTTTGGACATGATCTGACTCCAAATGTAACATAGTACTCTTTATTGCTTTTTCAGATCAGTGATGCAATTGTTTCAGAAGTTCTACATGATAAAAGTCAATTCCCTTTTTTCCACCGGATACTCCCCAAAAAGGGGATCACATATCCAGCAATTGTCCAAATTCTCCTCCATTTCAGATGGACCCTGATTGGTCTCATTACTTCAGACACAGATGAGGGAGAGAATTTCATGAGGACTTTTACTCCTGTGCTTGTCAGGAATGGAATTTGTGTTGTTATATCACGACGATTCTCAGCGAATGGATATACAGCACCTCTCGGTAATGATGTGTCTAAGTGGAGACAAGTCAATGTCTTTGTGAACTACATAGAAAATATTAACATTTGGGACAGAATTCGTATTTTCCAGTTTAAATTTCAAGGTATGCCAGGACCTATTGAAGGAAAAATCTGGATCATGGGAGCCATTGAGTATTTGGTATTGAAAAGGGAGGATCTATACAAATATGCCCATAGTATTTGGAGCTTTGCTTTTCAGAAAAAAAGAAGG